GAAGGAGGCGCAAAGGATCGCGGGCGCACACAAGTATCGATGCTAAGAAGTGATGCGTAAAGCAGCGGCGAAGGCGCGAATGGAAAAGGAAATGTATATTTGTGAGCGCTCGTCGGCAGCCGCCGTTGCTGCGAGTGGCATCGTTATGTCGTTGTTGCTGCTGCTTGTGCTTATGCTAATAATGTCATTGATAACATTAACGCTAACGATGTCAATCAGCAAATTAGTCGTGCCAGCAATACACCGTTATTGTAGCTGGAGTAAACAAAATTAACAAACGGCACTTGTAATATTTTTGCAGAATATTTGAAGCCTCACGAAGTTCGAAATGTAGCTCTCTTAGGTGACCCTGTATATATGTATAAACGATTTACGTGTGTATAAATATATGTATGAATGTTTCAATTTATCTGTGTGTGTATGTGTCCATATACGTACGAGTGCATTAATATACACTAAAAATCCAATAAAGCGCAGTTAATAACAATAATGCTTCCAGCAAAGTATGAAATATTAATCTCGCTATTTCCGCTCGCCTATGCAAAAGCAAGTTTATTTTTGCTCACCAAAAACAAAGGGAGGTTCGAATGGCCAATATTTTTCTGTTGGCTTGTTCCTTGAACTATTCTTCCACTCTTCGCCTTTATTGTGCACGTCACTCACACTAGACAAGCGCTGATTGAACTTTGTTGCTGACAATTACGGTTACTTGGCGTCTACTGCCATGTGAAGCATTGATCAATGTCCGGTGATAAGCTTTCAAGCATATTTTCCGTSTTCTCAGCTTTTTCTGCCGCCGCCCTTGTGAAATAAATCAACTGCCATTACCGGAGTCGTAAATTCTACGCAGCAAAGGAAAKGTTTAAGTTTAGGTTATTAGTTGAAAATTGGTTGTTGCTACAACTACACACGCACTCAAAGTGGCTTATGAATTATTCTGTGTGATTTTATTATTTTTGAAAAATTCTTCAAGTAAGAAAATTTTGTGAAACTGATTGCAACACCTTTTCGTGATAAAATACGTATTAACTTGTAAAGGTGACGCGCCCCGCAATTTGTTACTTGAGTAAAAATCATTATTTTGTTAATAGATCGAATAACGCACTCCGCTGCGCCATCTGTGATCACTTTGTAAGTCCTACAGTATATTGAACGCAGTGAGCTTTTTTTTTTATAAAGTTGAGCTTTGAGCTTTCATTATTTTTGGTAATAACTTTCTAATTTGGAATATTGCTTGAAAGAAATTCAGGTGTTCASAGCTCAGCAAACATGAATTTTTATGACCAGAAGAGGTGAGAGCTTTTTCGTATCATCCAGTTAGCGATGATGATAACAGTTTAGTTGAAAATTACTTCATCACAGTGTTTGCTGTCTCATGCATTCCTTCATATTTATGGTATAAGACAACCCCTGATCTTGACTAAAGTCATCTCAA